AAGGCAGCCTTAGCTCCCGGAAGTCCAGGATCCTGTTAAGTCTTCTTTAACATACGAAAATTCCCTCAGAAACTTCCTTTATCTCTCTCCCCCACCCAAGATACATGTTAGCAATCGCCTTCTAAGCATATGGCCGATTGATATACATCTGAAGGGTCTCATGACTAAGGTTTTACTAGACAGTATAAATGACCTTATCCTAACAACAGCTAGCCTCCTCAAGGTCCTGAAAAACCTTGCTTCTAAATTCCTTAGAGACTTATGCTATACCTAACTGCCCCCCTGCCCCCGCCCACCTGGAAAGTATATAATCAGTCACTCCTCACAATCCCAGTGCAGTACTTTGTGCCCAGGGGTCCTGTCCTCGTGGTTTCATAAAAGGACCTTTTTGGCACCACAGACCTCTTAATTCTTTTGTGACCATTCATTCCCGAACCCCAACGTTTCCAACAAAAACCATACACTGTGATGACGCTTAGTTGAAGGAGGTATAATTAAGGAGACACTGGAAACTCAATGAGGGGGAATTATCATTCTGTGGATTCTTAGAATTTTAAGAGTGAGAGAACAGAAATACTCTGTGGATCAATGTTGACACTTATTGTGAAAACAATCTATTGTTCTCTGCAACCGTCTGTGTACTTTGTGTACAAAGGCATATGTCAGTTACATCTCAATAAGATGAAAACATTTTCCCGTCTATTTCTATCCCTAAAACTTTTTTTCCCCAAAGATGGGAGAATACATGTTTGGGTTCCTAGTTACACAAGCTAGATTAGAGTCAAGAATTGGGGTTTTACTGGAACTTTCCTTCAATCAGTAAAATCTCTACCTGGGGTTCATCAGGCCACTGTAAATATAACTGGAGAATTTCACATTGATTAATTTATTTTCATCTGCCCCAATTATGGCTCCATTGGAAAGGTTCTGAGTCCTGTTCACTATTTTTCTGGACAAGCTCCATGAGACAGGGATAGAGTTTTCTTGCTGTAGCTCCCGTTCTAGGTCTGTAGTAGGTACATAATAAATGCCTCTGAATACTGCATGAAATAAATGGCTCTTGCTGTCAAGTGCATCTAACATGTCTCTGCCAGTTCTCCCCCAGCATGGATTTACCAAATAAGTGCTGAGAGATTTTGTTTTAATCCTCTTAGACACTAGGAACAAGGTGTGCTTTGTGTCTGAAGGAGGAAGCTACGACTGTCTGCACAGAAAACGCTCCTGTATCAGCAGTGCAAGCTCTGATAGGAGGTGGAGCTACTGTCTGTCACTTAGCCCTGAGATCATTTTAGTGACTTAGTTCAAAGGGAAAGTGTTGACAATGAACATCCTGTAGCCTGGACAGGAATAGAAGTCAAGAATCAAGGCTTTGAGTGAGGTAGGGGAGTAAAGGCTCATGGTGCCTGCAACCCCCCCTAAAGATTTTGTCACACTGCCAAAGTGACAAAGAGGAGAGCATGGAGAATATGCCTCTGTCGACCAGGTTTTGAGCTATGTGCTAGATCTCCTTTAAGGCTTTATGAATGGCACTAGGGTGCAGGTAGGTGTGTGGGGATGTCATTAAACGGAGGCCAGCTTCTGTAAAATAAATCTTAATGTTAGATGATTCTAAATTAGTATATTTCCATCATGCTTCTCAGAGGTGGGGGTAGCAGCATGAATGGGCCTGTGAGTACTCTCAGAAAAGGCTTTCCGCTGTCATGGTGAATGACACACAAGGTTTGCTGTGAAAAGCTGAAAGAGAATGGCTACACAGAGCATAGGGAAGTCATCTTTTTGCTGTTGGCCCTGGGTGCTGTGCCACCTCGGTCTGTACCTGGTAAGCACCTGCCAGCCAGCTGACCTTCCTAGTTAGCTGTTACTGGCAGGAACGTTCCAGCGGGAAGCTGCATCCTACACAGGGATTCTGAAACCATTAAGTACAGAGGGGAGGACACTTCTCAGAAGGAATGCATATTCATTTTGTTTTCTCTTGGCTTTTGGAGGCTTTAAAAAGTAAATATATTACAAACCATATTCCAGACATAGATTTAGAAAGAAAAAATCTTTTATTCCTTTGCCATTATAGTGATGGAGACAGAACATTTTATTTAAATGTCATAGTCTTGAACTTACACCTCACGCTTACGTGTACACAAAAAGGAAACGAGAAAAAAAATTAGATTGTTAGCACTATGAATGCCTTTGGAGACCTGTTGGTCCAGCCCTGCTCTTCAGATGAAAAATGTAAGGCCAGAGGTTAACAGAATTACTCAACAATACAAATGAAGTTAGACAATTCAGTATTTTACCCATAGTTAGTATAAACAGTATTTCCCATGTATCACTGATGTCACAGGCAAAAAATCTCATGAATTTCTTGAGATTCAATGTCCCGGGCGTCAGATGCTGGTTAATCGCACTACTCACTGACCTACTGCATTATGGGGGGAAAAGAGGAATTTACATTTTTTTCTTATGATAGGGAATTTTAATTCTAAGAAAGGCCAATTCCCAACAAATAATTTCTAGCCCTCCTTTAAAATGTACTTCTTCAGAAACTCAAGACCTAATAGATTTCCCTAAGTTTCAACTAAGCAAAACCATTGAGGATCTTTTGATATATTCATGGGTTACTTGCCTTTCTTTTATTGGAGGCCTGGCTAGATATCCGTTGTCCACTTACAGGGAGGTGGGGTGGGGAGGGTTGGTCTTTGAATTTTTAACTATAATATGCCAATTACCCTTGTCTACGATATAAGTTGTAATTTTTTCTTCCTAGTTTGTCAGTTGACTTTGCTTATGCTATTTTCTCCCTTTCTTCCATGATTTTAAAGAAAACTTCAAGTTGATATCCAGTTCAGTCTTTATATTTATCAAGGTAAGTGTGGCACAGTATACCCTAAAAGCAACTTAAAACCCAGAATTACACAGTAGTTAGCAGTCATCATATGCAAATCTGTTGTTAAATGTCCAGAAAGATTCTGGTATTTTCTAGATCGTTAGCATGGCCATGATATCTTACCAAATAAATTGTTGATCTGTAAGCATGTGGACCAGTTATGGACTCCAGGATCACTTGTTTATAGACCTGTACATTAATTTTGCAATTCTTAAAAGTCATGGTTTCTTAGTTTATTTGGTATTTTCTGAATCTATACAAAAAGTCACTTGCTTTTATAATAAAATTATTCTTTCATTTAAAATACACACAGTACAAATTGCTTTTGAAATAGAACTTAGGAAATATCCCAAGCTCATTGTTTAAGATGTTTCTCTTGAAAACCTGTCCCTCGGATTCATTTAATGCCCTTTTAATAAACAGAAAAAACTTTTTTTTCCCCTAGAAAAGTCAAAATTGATCTCTCTATATTTTATATCTGAACTCATAGGAGATTTTCCTCGATAGAAGAAAAAGTGATTATTTAAGAAAGACATGGGTGTATAAAGAAACAAACATATGAAGAATGATGAATCAAAAATTAACAGTGGTTATCACTGAGTAGTATAATCGTGTGTGACTTAGTTTTTCACATCTTCCTCCTGGATTTTGATCTTCTCGTTAATGAGCCCATTCCATAGTATGAACGTTTGAAAATAAGAAAGGCGAATCACAAACTTGTAAACAGAAATCCGAAGTGCCACCTTCTTCCTTCAAGTAATTGAGACTATTTATATACCCTAAGTGCAGTCTTTTCCCCCAACTCAATGATGTGTGCGTTCAGCAGGAGGAGAAAGCACAAGGAGTGACAGTAATCCAAGCTAAGAGGAGGGAGCTTTTACTAGCTCCTGGGAGCCCGGCAGCACCTTCACGTGCACATGCCTGCGTCTTAGTGAGGTCACTTCCAAGATTTTATGAGTCTCACATCTTACTCTGTTGAATTGGCTCCTTTCCAGCAACACTGTAATCCGAGGTATCTTCCAGCTCTATAGTACTTTGTCAAGGAAGGGCACTAAAATAACAGGATATTTTTATTCAGGTGACAGCATGGGTGACAACTGAACTGCCCAGAATTTGCTGCTTAAAATGGTGATACTAACATTACACATAATTACAGGTTCAGAAGAAGTGTTTATGCCCTCCTTAGTGGTTGCTATGTAGGGCACAAGAAAATATGGCATAAATTGAGACACTGAGTAGATAA